TGACGAAGAGCCCCGAGAAGAGGAAGGGACGAACCAGTGCGTGATGAAGAGCTATCCCCAGCAGCGGGTTGCCACCAGCGACCCGAAGGCGAGCTGTCCCGATGGACGCAATGTCCCGATGGCCAGCTGACCCGAAGGCGAGCTGGCCCGATGGACGCAATGTCCCGATGGACGCAATGTCCCGATGGACGCAATGTCCCACCGCTGCGCCCGGTGAGTGAGTGAGCGACGGCGACAGCTCTGAGCTCAGCCGCACATCGCCTCGGGCACGCAGGCAGTGCAGCGGGCGTGCAGCCGAGCACGCCTCCAGAGCGTGCGCCGAAGTGAGCATCAACGCCGCTCGCCGACCCGCCGTCGAGCGTAGCGGGCTGGGCCGCGGCCCGGCCGGCAGCACGCGTCGCCAAGGGGGCGGGGCGAGGGTGCCCCACCGACGGCAGGAGATGCTGTCAGGTCCAGTCGCCGGGCGCCGGGACGAGGGGAGAGTGCTGCCACCGAGGCGGATAGCACTGCAGACCGCCACATCGCTGCAGAGCACGTCGGCGGCGGGCTAGCCCCGGCGGCACGTTGCGCGGAGTGAGACGGCAGCGGCGGCGGCGTGCGAAGGCGCCGCAAAGCGGGAGCGCCGGGCCAGCGGGGGGCTTGCGCCCAGGGCAAGTTCCTTGCCGAGCATTGGGCGCGACGCTCTCGTCGGCGCGGCCGGGGAGGCGACCGCGGCGCAGTGCCCGCTCAAGTAGAGCGGCGGCGGTGGCGGCGGCCCCGCCGGCGCCCTCGAGAGTGGCGCAGCCGCACGCACACGCGAGCGCTCGCCGCCCCCCCCCAGAGAGGCGGGGTGGTGACGGGCGCCCGCGGCTGGTGCACGAGCGGGGATGGGGCCGCCCGCCCGCCGAGCCGCGCGTGGGCAGCGCAGAGGCAGCGCGAGCAGCCACGCCACGGCGCGGTAGCAGCGCCGCGCCCGGTGCACCAGCGACGGCGGCAGCTCTGAGCCCGGCCGCAAACCGCCTCGGGCATACAGGCAGTGCAGCGGGCATGCGACCGGGCATCGCCTCCAGAGCGTGCGCCGAGACGAGCACCCAATACCGCTCGCCGAGCCGCCGCCGCGGCAGCGGACGGCGCCGCGGCCCGGCCGGCAGCACGTCGCCAAGGGGGGGAGGCGAGCGCGCCCCACCGACGGTAAGGGGCACTGCCAGGCCCACTCGCCGGGCGCCGGGACGAGGAGAGGCGCACTGCCGTCAGCGCGGCGGATCGCACTGCAGACCGCAACGTCGCCGTACATATTGGCGGCGGGCGAAGACGAGCGTCGCGTCGCGCGGAGCGAGACGGTAGCGGCGGCGGCGTGTGAGAGCGGCAGAGGCGCTGCAAGGCGTGAGCGAAGGGCTGGGAGGCTCTCGCTCCTTAGCAAGCGCCCTGCCGAGCGCTGAGCGCGACGCCCTCGTCAGCGAGGCTGGAGAGGCGACCACAGCGCAGCGCGCGTGCAAAGCGGAGCGGCGGCTGGGGCGGCCGCCTCGCAGTCGCCCTCGAGAGTGGTCTGGCGCCCGCACACGTGAGCGCGCGCCGCCCCCCTCCTCCCGGAGAGACGGGACGGCGACGGGTGCCCGCAGCCGCGGCGCACAAGCGGCGACAGTGTCGCCTGCCTGCCGAACCACGAGTAGGCAGCGCAGGGGCACCACGAGCAGCCACGCGGTGGTACCGGCGGCGCTCCCGGCGCCGCAGCGGCGGCGACAGCTCGGAGCTCAGCCGCACATCGCCTCGGGCCCACAGGCAGTGCAGCGGGCACGCGGCCGAGCACGCCTCCAGGCACGCCTCCAGAGCGTGCGCCGAAGTGAGCACCAACGCCGCTCGCCGACCCGCCGTCGAGCGTAGCGGACTGGGCCGCGGCCCGGCCGGCAGCACGCGTCGCCAAGGGGGCGGGGCGAGGGTGCCCCACCGACGGCAGGAGATGCTGTCAGGTCCAGTCGCCGGGCGCCGGGACGAGGGGAGAGTGCTGCCACCGAGGCGGATAGCACTGCAGACCGCCACATCGCTGCAGAGCACGTCGGCGGCGGGCTAGCCCCGGCGGCACGTTGCGCGGAGTGAGACGGCAGCGGCGGCGGCGTGCGAAGGCGCCGCAAAGCGGGAGCGCCGGGCCAGCGGGGGGCTTGCGCCCAGGGCAAGTTCCTTGCCGAGCATTGGGCGCGACGCTCTCGTCGGCGCGGCCGGGGAGGCGACCGCGGCGCAGTGCCCGCTCAAGTAGAGCGGCGGCGGTGGCGGCGGCCCCGCCGGCGCCCTCGAGAGTGGCGCAGCCGCACGCACACGCGAGCGCTCGCCGCCCCCCCCCAGAGAGGCGGGGTGGTGACGGGCGCCCGCGGCTGGTGCACGAGCGGGGATGGGGCCGCCCGCCCGCCGAGCCGCGCGTGGGCAGCGCAGAGGCAGCGCGAGCAGCCACGCCACGGCGCGGTAGCAGCGCCGCGCCCGGTGCACCAGCGACGGCGGCAGCTCTGAGCCCGGCCGCAAACCGCCTCGGGCATACAGGCAGTGCAGCGGGCATGCGACCGGGCATCGCCTCCAGAGCGTGCGCCGAGACGAGCACCCAATACCGCTCGCCGAGCCGCCGCCGCGGCAGCGGACGGCGCCGCGGCCCGGCCGGCAGCACGTCGCCAAGGGGGGGAGGCGAGCGCGCCCCACCGACGGTAAGGGGCACTGCCAGGCCCACTCGCCGGGCGCCGGGACGAGGAGAGGCGCACTGCCGTCAGCGCGGCGGATCGCACTGCAGACCGCAACGTCGCCGTACATATTGGCGGCGGGCGAAGACGAGCGTCGCGTCGCGCGGAGCGAGACGGTAGCGGCGGCGGCGTGTGAGAGCGGCAGAGGCGCTGCAAGGCGTGAGCGAAGGGCTGGGAGGCTCTCGCTCCTTAGCAAGCGCCCTGCCGAGCGCTGAGCGCGACGCCCTCGTCAGCGAGGCTGGAGAGGCGACCACAGCGCAGCGCGCGTGCAAAGCGGAGCGGCGGCTGGGGCGGCCGCCTCGCAGTCGCCCTCGAGAGTGGTCTGGCGCCCGCACACGTGAGCGCGCGCCGCCCCCCTCCTCCCGGAGAGACGGGACGGCGACGGGTGCCCGCAGCCGCGGCGCACAAGCGGCGACAGTGTCGCCTGCCTGCCGAACCACGAGTAGGCAGCGCAGGGGCACCACGAGCAGCCACGCGGTGGTACCGGCGGCGCTCCCGGCGCCGCAGCGGCGGCGACAGCTCGGAGCTCAGCCGCACATCGCCTCGGGCCCACAGGCAGTGCAGCGGGCACGCGGCCGAGCACGCCTCCAGGCACGCCTCCAGAGCGTGCGCCGAAGTGAGCACCAACGCCGCTCGCCGACCCGCCGTCGAGCGTAGCGGACTGGGCCGCGGCCCGGCCGGCAGCACGCGTCGCCAAGGGGGCGGGGCGAGCGTGCTCCACCGACGGCAGGAGATGCTGTCAGGTCCAGTCGCCGGGCGCCGGGACGAGGGGAGCGCGCTGCCACCGAGGCGGATCGCACTGCGGACCGCCACATCGCTGCAGAGCATGTCGGCGGCGGGCGAACCCCGGCGGCACGTTGCGCGGAGTGAGACGGCAGCGGCGGCGGCGTGCGAAGGCGCCGCAGAGCGGAGGGCGCCGAGCCAGCGGGGGGCTTGCGCCCAGGGCAAGTTCCTCGCCGAGCATTGGGCGCGACGCTCTCGTCGGCGCGGCCGGGGAGGCGACCGTGGCGCAGTGCTCGCTCAAGTAGAGCGGCGGCGGTGGCGGCGGCCCCGCCGGCGCCCTCGAGAGTGGCGCAGCCGCACGCACACGCGAGCGCTCGCCGCCCCCCCCTCAAAGAGGCGGGGTGGTGACGGGCGCCCGCGGCTGGTGCACGAGCGGGGATGGCGCCGCCCGCCCGCCGAGCCGCGCGTGGGCAGCGCAGAGGCAGCGCGAGCAGCCACGCCACGGCGCGGTAGCAGCGCCGCGCCCGGTGCACCAGCGACGGCGGCAGCTCTGAGCCCGGCCGCAAACCGTCTCGGGCATACAGGCAGTGCAGCGGGCATGCGACCGGGCACCGCCTCCAGAGCGTGCGCCGAGACGAGCACCCAATACCGCTCGCCGAGCCGCCGCCGCGGCAGCGGACGGCGCCGCGGCCCGGCCGGCAGCACGTCGCCAAGGGGGGGAGGCGAGCGCGCCCCACCGACGGTAAGGGGCACTGCCAGGCCCACTCGCCGGGCGCCGGGACGAGGAGAGGCGCACTGCCGTCAGCGCGGCGGATCGCACTGCAGACCGCAACGTCGCCGTACATATTGGCGGCGGGCGAAGACGAGCGTCGCGTCGCGCGGAGCGAGACGGTAGCGGCGGCGGCGTGTGAGAGCGGCAGAGGCGCTGCAAGGCGTGAGCGAAGGGCTGGGAGGCTCTCGCTCCTCAGCAAGCGCCCTGCCGAGCGCTGAGCGCGACGCCCTCGTCAGCGAGGCTGGAGAGGCGACCACAGCGCAGCGCGCGTGCAAAGCGGAGCGGCGGCTGGGGCGGCCGCCTCGCAGTCGCCCTCGAAAGTGGTCTGGCGCCCGCACACGTGAGCGCACGCCGCCCCCCTCCTCCCGGAGAGACGGGACGGCGACGGGTGCCCGCGGCCGGCGCACGAGCGGCGACAGTGTCGCCTGCCTGCCGAACCACAATAGGCAGCGCAGGGGCACCACGAGCAGCCACGCGGTGGTACCGGCGGCGCGCCCGGCGCCGCAGCGGCGGCGACAGCTCGGAGCTCAGCCGCACATCGCCTCGGGCCCACAGGCAGTGCAGCGGGCACGCGGCCGAGCACGCCTCCAGGCACGCCTCCAGAGCGTGCGCCGAAGTGAGCACCAACGCCGCTCGCCGACCCGCCGTCGAGCGTAGCGGACTGGGCCGCGGCCCGGCCGGCAGCACGCGTCGCCAAGGGGGCGGGGCGAGCGTGCTCCACCGACGGCAGGAGATGCTGTCAGGTCCAGTCGCCGGGCGCCGGGACGAGGGGAGCGCGCTGCCACCGAGGCGGATCGCACTGCGGACCGCCACATCGCTGCAGAGCATGTCGGCGGCGGGCGAACCCCGGCGGCACGTTGCGCGGAGTGAGACGGCAGCGGCGGCGGCGTGCGAAGGCGCCGCAGAGCGGAGGGCGCCGAGCCAGCGGGGGGCTTGCGCCCAGGGCAAGTTCCTCGCCGAGCATTGGGCGCGACGCTCTCGTCGGCGCGGCCGGGGAGGCGACCGTGGCGCAGTGCTCGCTCAAGTAGAGCGGCGGCGGTGGCGGCGGCCCCGCCGGCGCCCTCGAGAGTGGCGCAGCCGCACGCACACGCGAGCGCTCGCCGCCCCCCCCTCAAAGAGGCGGGGTGGTGACGGGCGCCCGCGGCTGGTGCACGAGTGGCGATAGTGTCGCCCGCCCGCTGAGCCGCGCGTGGGCAGCGCAGAGGCAGCGCGAGCAGCCACGACAGGCGCGGTAGCAGCGCCGCGCCGGGGTACTAGCGGCGGCGGCAGCTCTGAGCCCGGCCGCAGATCGCCTCGGGCATACAGGCACCGGCAGCGCGGCGGGCATGTGGCCGGACACGCCTCCAGAGCGCGCGCCGAAGCGAGCATCGACACCGCTCGCCGAGCCGCCGTCGAGGCAGCGGACTGCGCCGCGGCCCGGCCGGCAGCGCGTCGCCAAGCGAGAGGCGAGCGTGCCACGCCGACGGCAAGAGGTAGCGCCGGGTCCACTCGCCGGGAGCGGGACGAGGAGGCGCTGCTGCCACCGCGGCGGATCGCACCGCAAAACGCAGCGTCGCCGCAAGCGCGTCGGCGGCAGTGAACACGAGCGTTTCGTCGCGCAGAACGAGACGGCAGCGGTGGCGGCATGCGAGGGCGGCGGCGGCGCCGCAAGCGGACGCGACGGGCCAGGAGGCTCTCGCTCCTCGGGCAGGCGCCTCGCTGAGCGCTGAGCACGACGCCCTCGTCGGCGAGGCTGGAGAGGCGGGACCACGGCGCGGCGCACGCTTAAAGCAGAGCGGCTGCGGGGCGGCGGCCTCGCCGTCGTCCGGCCGCACGCACCCGCGCACACGCGCGCGCCCGCCACCCTTTCCACAGAGACGGGGTGGCAATGAGCGGCCGCGGCTGGCCCGCGAGTGGCGACGGTGCCGCCCGCCGGCCGAGCCGCGCGTGGGCAGCGCGCAGAGGCCGCGCGAGCGGCCATGCCGTGGTGCTGGCGGCGCTGCGCCCGGTGAGTGAGTGAGCGACGGCGACAGCTCTGAGCTCAGCCGCACATCGCCTCGGGCACACCGACAGGGCGGGCATGCGACCAGGGCGTGCGCCGGAGCGAGCGCCAACGCCGCTCGCCGAGCTGCCGTCGAGGCAGTGGAAGGCGCCGCGGACTGGGTCGCGGCGCGATCGGCAGCACGCGCCGGCAGGGGCGAGCCGAGCGTGCCCCGCCGACGGCGGAGGTGTTGCCGGGTCCACTCGCCGGGCGCCGGGACAAGGGGAGCGCGCTGCCGCCACAGCGGCGGGTCGCACTGCAGACCGCCACGTTTCCGTAGAGTAGTCGGCGGCGGGCGATTCCCGACAGCACGTCGCGTGAGGCGAGACAGCAGCGGCGGCGGCGTGCGAGGGCAGCGGCGCCGCCGCAAAGCGGGCGCGACGGGTCAGGAGGCTCTCGCCCTTCGGGCAAGCGCCTTGCCGCGAGCGCCGAACCCGACGCCCTCGTCGGTGCGGCTGGAGAAGTGATTCTGGCGCAGCGCGCACTCGAGGCGGCGGCGGTGGCGGCAGCCTCGCCGTCGCCCTCGAGAGTGGTCCAGCCGCACACACACGTGAGCGCTCGCCGCCCCCCCCCCCCCCCAAAAAGAGGCGGTCGGGCGATGAGCGCCCGCGGCTGGGGCACAAGCAGCGATAGTGCTGCCCGCCCGCTGAGCCGTGAGTGGGCAGCGCCGAGGCAGCGCGAGCAGCCACGCCGCGGCGCTGACGGCGCCGCGCCCGGCGCACCAGCGAGTCGCACACCGCCTCGGGCCCACGGGCAATCTGTGCAGCGGGTGTGCGGCCGAAGATGCCTCCGGAGCGTGCATCGAAGTGTGCGCCAACGCCGACAAACATGGCGATCTGGCGATGCGCAGCGGCCGCGCGGCGCTCCACATGGCAGTCGCGGCCCAGCCAGAAGAGTCGGGAAGCCGCAGCGGGAGGGCAGCGGGCTTCGGGCTGATGCGGGCCACGAGCGGGCGCCGCTGCGAGCACGGCAGCCACGGCAGAGCCATGCGAGGATCCCGTCTCCAGCGAAACTCCCCTTCCTCAAAATCAATCCCAAACTTCGACGAGGCGAGAGAGCGCGCACAGACTGACGTCAGCTACGCTCCTGAAGGACACCTCTGAAAGGCACCTTCGTCTGAGGACGGCGTCTGAAGACGACGGCCTCTGGTCAGATTCGGTCTCGTCGCTAGACTCCGATTTCTCTTTGTCAGGCCATGTGCCGCTCGCTCGTCCGCCCAAGTGACTTGGACGCGCGGTCGAGGGCACCCCACCGTTCCTGGGGCGCGCTGGCGCTCACCGCTGGCGCTCACCAGCGGTCACCCCCCACCCATCCACCCTTTTGTCTTTGAGGCTGTCGCTCCGAGAAAACTTGTCTCGCAGCTGCGAGAAATTACCTTTTCCAGCTATCCAAGGTGAGCACATCGCGCCTCGCCGCGACAAGGCGCCCCTGCTCGTCGCGCCAGCCCCCCCGGGCGGGGGCGCCGCCATGCCACCTACGCTTCGCGAACGGCTTAGCGCGTACAAGCGCTCGCTGAAGAGCGACACAAGCAAGGTCTGGCGCAAGGTGAGTCCTCGCACGCCTCGCGCCAAGACAAGCCACCATGTGGCAGCGACAGACGACCATCTTACCTTGCCATTCGCCATCGTCAAGCACCCAAGCTGGATGCTGCGGGACGAGTCGCGGATTGCGGCCGCGCAGGATGACAGTACCCTCCCGGCGACACTGTACGAGGAGCGCTTGGCTCGCGCCCGCAAGCTGGACACCGACTACAGACCTCCTGAAGCAGTCGGGCGTGAAATGGCGTCGTCTTCCCTGGCTTGGGCAGCACGCAGTGATAGTTTAAGCGCAGCAGAGGATATGCTGGCTCGCGGTGCTGACGTCGAGGAGAAGGACCCGCACACCGGCACAACCCCGCTCCACTGGGCAGCCGCTAGAGGGTCGGTCGGCATCGTTCGCGCTCTCATCGCTGCGGGCGCCAGAGCAGGCGCCACTGACCTGGATGGCGCCACGCCGCTAATGTTGGCGGCGGAGCGAGGCCATCTGGTTGTGGTCGAGTTGCTGTGTGCGGCTGGCGCTGACCCGAGCGCTGCTGACCGCGATGGCGTCACCGCGCTCCACGCCGCCGCCGCGCGGCGGCATGGAGCGGTGGTGGCCCAACTGATGGCGGCAGGCGCGGCTGCGGGCGCGGTCGACTCGCTCGGCTACACCGCCGAGACGATCTCGGGTGCGTTCGACGACACCGGCGATATTGCGGAAGACGGGAAGGCGGCGGGTTCGGATCGCGACCGGTCCTCGAGGGTGATCGAGGACGAGGGCGGCGAGGACGAGGGCGGAGTGGGCGAGGGCGGGGCGGGCGAGGGCGGGGCGGGCGAGGGCGGAGCGGATGACTGCGGCGAGGAGGAGGACGATGACGCGGACGAGGACGAGGACGAGGACGAGAGGCAAACCAAGGCCATGCTTCTCGGTATTGGCTACAGCCCGGCTCAAATCAAGGAGGCGACGATCGCTGCGCACGGGGACGTTCAAGGCGCCGCAGAACGGCTCTTGGACGCCAATGCTGGCATGGACAAAGACGGGGCTGCCGCCCTTTCGCCAAGCCACGCGGCGCAAGCCGGCCCGCCGTTGCGTGCCAGGCGAGCCGGGCAGAGGCATGGCCAGCTGCACTCCCGCTCGCATCAGGCGGTGCACAGTGACCGGCAATCGCCGCCCGGTCAGCGCCCAGGCGGCATCGCCAGTCGATTGGTCGCGTTAGAAGGGCGTGTCGGGCTTACTGGCTCGGTCGGTCCCCCACTTCCTCGCATCATTGAGCTCGAGCTGCTGGCGGGCTTATTCCGACCGAGCGTGCAATGCTTCGCCGTCCGGCTCGACGCCCTCGAGCAGTGGGTGGAAGAGAATGGATTGTAGAGAGAGAATAAGGGGCCCAGACCGTGCCGAGGGGTAATACCAATCCGTACATACGCGACGTACGCGACACAAGTTTATGGACCTAAAAGCTAGAGACTCGCAGAGGCACCGGAGATGGCGGCTGACGCGGCAATTGCTGGCAAGCTCGGTTCGTCCGGGTAGGAGGCATCGAACCGGGTGAAGGAAAAGCGCGTGCTGTGCGCAGAGGGCACTTCATACATCTCAGCGGTCCCCTCGATCGCGCCCTCTGCCATAGCACTCGTGGTGAAGTGGCCCTGCTCTGGGTAGTCGTCGATCTTGCCGTCGCGCGGCCCTGTCCACGCGAACGATTGTCCAACTATGCCGTGCGGTCGGCTGCGAGCGGCGGCTTCGCCCTTTGCGCTAAAGTCGACGTCGAGCCGGTGCTCCGGTCCGGATATGCGCGAGTACACGTGGTTGCCGCGCACTGAGATGGTCCAGTCGCCAAGGGCGAAGGAGGCGCTCGAGTGGAAGACCTCCATGTCGAGACCCTCGCACGTGCGGAAGCCCCCCCGCCCCAGCTTGAAGGCGCGATCGCCGCAGCTGCCGTTGATGACGCGCCACCCCCAATTGTGCTCGTTCAGCTCGGAGGCCCAGAAGGACACGTTCGCCCTCGTCTTGCCCCTGGGGCCGAGCCGAGCCACCAGATGCGCCTCGGTGATGAAGCTCCCGTTGACAGTCAGCTTGTCGTTGTGGAGGCGGAAGCTGGCTTCCTCAATCTTCACATTAACTGACAGGCCCGGCACGGAGAGAAAATTGTAGAAGCGCCCATTCCGTCCCCGGAAGTCGGCCCGCCCGCCGTGCGCAAACCGCAGGTGCGGGTCCTTCTCGATCCCCACCGGAGGCGGAGGCGGCATGGGACAGTCGCTCATGGGTGCGGTCGTGCACTCGTCCGACGATGTCGGCGCGCCTGGACACACGCACTCCCGAGGCACGCTGAGGCCGCCAAAGAGGAAGTTGCGCCCATAGTCGTTCTCATTACTCCCGCTCTTTGAGACTTCCAGGTCCAATATGAAGGGGTTTGTTTTTGCCGGGAACTCGAGGCAGAGGAACTTTGGCATGGTGTAGCGATACGGCTTGCCCACAAATTGGATGTATTGTGCTCCGTTCGATGCATTCGTCGGATACACGCCGGCTCCAGGGGAGGGCTCACCTTGCGTGCAGGTGATGACGTCCTCGTACCTCTTTTCTGTGCCGGAGATTCCGGTGGCCGGGCACTTGTCGTAGTCACCGCAAACCCCGCTCTTGCCTCCGAAGATGACCGGCGTGTCCATCAGGACCTCAAAAAAGTCGTTTGGGTTGTCGTTGCCAGTCCCGCGTTTCAGTCCTGAGACGGTAGCGCACGACCCATCATCGGATACTGTGATGTTCATGTAGCCAGTCGTGTCAATGTTGTCACACAAGTAGTCCTTGATCAGCGAGGAGCCCCTGACGTCTTGCATCTTCCCGCCCACCATGCGAGACCCGTGAGTGTAGTATGGTTCTTTTGACGGGCACGTTTGCAGGCCGCATGCTGTGAGCGTCTCGGTCATCACAGCACCCTTGTCGAAGTCAAAGAAGCAAAAGTCGAAGCCTGGACCAACAGACAACGGGGATAAGGGCGGGGCGATGCGATGCGCCCCTGTGTGAGAGTGCGGGCGTGCGCGCCGAAACCGACTTCTATTTTGTCGTTATCGGTGAAGTTAAAGGGATAGCTGGTCTGAGGCGTAGCCTCCGGGTTGACAAACATGAATTCAAACTTGGTCTTCGTGTTAGCTCGCAGATTGAGCTCGGCAAACTGACCATCGTTTGATTGGTGCCCGTTCATGCCGGAGTGCCAGGGTGTGTACTCGCTGACATTTTTGATCACCAGGTCGAACTTCAAGGGGGCCGAACCGGTCCCGTCATAAAGCTCTCCGATGTTTGTGTACCGAAGTATCTGGGGGCCGTCTTTGATTTGCACGTTTGTACAGTCACACCCGCACCCGCACGGACAATCGTAGCTGCCCAGTTTCATACTTGTGCACGTAGCGTCGTTACCGCCCGGGTACCCGCCAAGGTTGTTGATTTTGATGTCTCCAGCCGCGTAGGACATGTACATGCCGCGCGCCACCTTGCCGCTCGGGCACCAAGTGTTTCCCTCTGGCAGGGTAGTGAGCGGCGATTGATACGACGTATGGTCCATTGGTTTTGGAGTGACGCCCCACTGGTAGAGCCGTTCAAGATACTCTGGAGTCCCAGGTCCCGCGGCGCTCGCGCGGGGCAGCAGCACGAAAAAGAACGTCACTGCCTTCATCGAGTCGACGAGCTGCTTTGGCCGCCCAATCGACATGGGCGCGCCAAAACGGCACTTTAGTGCGACTACGTTTCGGCCGAGCTTCGAACTTGCTGTGCCGTCGGGGGGCCGGGGCCGGCTCTTTTTACCCGTTCGCGCGGTGTTGCGTCATCTGTTTGCTTGGGGCACCGCCGCGCAGATGTCGCGGGACGGTCCAAACTCGACTCCCCGCCGGACATCATGAGATCATGAGATGTCATGTTGCGACATCCCGAGAAACAATGTCAATTTCATGGTCAATTTTTAGTCATCCCCAGACATCGCTCATCGGTGTTCGGGTGTGTGCTGGGTTCCGGCGTGGATCGATTATCGATATTGTTATCGTGGGTCGTGGCGTACCGAAGATGGGTTTTATGTGAAAAGAAATCCGCCGCCGTGTTGTGCTACCAAACTGTGCGACAATCTCTTGCTCTCTCCTCTCACCAACCCCTCACTCTCTCACCCACGCGCGGAACCACACCCTCGCCCGTCCGCTGGCTCACTTGCCCAGGGACTCACAGAGATCCGAGCTCCCAGTTCGCGCAGGCTCTCCTCACGCTACGGCAAGCGTGCCGCGGCCATCCGGTCGCCCTTCTTCACGGCGCTCTCCAACACGGCGCGAAAATAGGTCTGAAACTCCTTGACCTCGAGCGCGCCGTCGCTGTTCTTGTCACAAAGCGCAAAGAGCTCGGCACAGCGCTCGGTCTGCGGCAACTCGAGCCCGCTCCGCCCGCAGATCCGCGCCACCATGAGAAAGACTTCCTGCTGATCGAGGGTCCCGTTTTGGTTGACGTCCACGATGGAGAACTCCTCTACACAGACGCGCTTCCGCTTGTCCTTGTCGGCCAAGAGCCTGCGTGCCCACTCGACGCCCGACAGCTGTGGCTGCGTGCCCATGGCCGCCGTGACCAGCGACTTGCGGGCGGCCGCTTTGCTCGCCGCCTCCGCCTCCGCGGCTTGGAGCGCAGCCTCTGCCTCTGCCGTGGCCGCCTGAACTCGGCTCTCTTCTTGCGCCTGCTCGACGAGAACCTCCGCGGCGGCCCATGCGTTGGACCTCCGGTCCGACCCGAGGACCCCAACGTCGCCATCGCCATCGAGGTCCAGTCCTGTCGCTGCCTCTGCCACGTTGGCCATGTACTCGAAGAAGCCAGTCTCGTTCCGCACCGCGGGCAGAGCTCGCGCCGCTGCCGCGTCGTCCGCCGCCTTGCGCACCTCCTTGCGCCTCAGTTCCGCCGCCGCCTCGCGGGCCGCCGCCGCCTCCGCCTCCGCCTTGCGCACCGCCTCCGCCTCAATGGCAGCGAGCTTCTCTCCCCTCTTTGAAGACCTCGTACTCTTCCTCGCGCCGGTCCCCTCCTCGGCCGCCAGCGCGGCAACCACGCCGAAGCCAACGGCGTCCATCGACGACGTACGCGTCCGTGCGCTTCTCTCAGCTGCCGCCCACGCCGTTTCGCGCGCGGCGTCGGCCAACACCCGCTCTCTCTCCGCCTCGGCTTCTGCGGCCGCCGCCCGAGCCGCCGAACTCCTCTCCGCTGCCTCCTTAGCCGCAAGTCGGGCCGCATCAGCTTCGGCGGTCTCCCTGGCCTCCTTTACGGCCCACTCCGCCTCTGTGGCTGCTGCGCGAGCCGCAGATCGTCTCTCTGCCGCCAGCCGCGCCGCCTCTCGCGCCGAATCGGCCACCTCCTCTTCCCTGGGTCCCAAATGTTCCCGCTCCGAATTTATGACCACCGAACGTGCCGCGGCTCGCCTCTCGGCCGCCTGCCGCGCCTCCTCCCGCGCCGCGTCGTCCGCCGCCTGCTCGCCGCTTGCGCCGTCCTCCGCGGCAGAGTTCCGAGCCGCCGACCTCCTCTCCGCTGCCAACCGCGCCGACTCCCGTTCCGCCTCGTCGTCGATGGGCACAGCTTCTGCTTTGGCCTCCACCAGCACCGCAGCCGCCTCGGTGACAGCTCTGCTTGCCGCTGGTGGATCCGCTGCGTCGGCGGTGGCCTCATCGTCCAGGGGGATTTTCCACAACCTGGCCATCGAGCTGGCAGAGCGCCGCTTCGGCGTGCTCTCGGTGCCAGGACTCGTGGGCTCCCCCGAGTCATCCAGCGAGTGGATCCGCCAGAGCTGTGTCATTGAGCTCATGGAGCGCTTGCGTGTCGGGGCGGGCGCGGACGCGAGGGCCTGGCCTTTGGCCGCCGGTGCCTCCGCCTCGACCACGCCAAGCGAGGACTCGCCCGCGACGCGTCGATAGACGGGTGCGCCCTCCTTCATTCGCAACCCCGACGCGCGACGTATCGGCGATGTTGAGATCCGGCACTATTAATTCTTATTACTTCAGGATGCAACTATTAATTCACCTTGATTTGTACCAGAGCAGATGTACTTTTAGCTTATCACTGGAAGGAAAAGAGAAATCAATAGTGTCACCTCCAGGAGAGATGGGCGACGCAAGAGGCACAGTAATAAATAAATTTCTTCTTTGTGTACCATTCCGCGCCAGTCCGCGCCTTTGTTGTGCCAGCGGCTGAGAGCGCGCCTAGAATTCTTCTTTGCTCCGTGCTGGGGTTCTCATCAGCTGTCCCTGCCACTCCGCTGTGAACACGAGGGGCCTCGGCTTGCGGAGCTGCTCGGTGTACGAACTCTGTTCCACCAGAGTAGCTGGGAGTGGCTGCGGCTATAGCAGACAGTCTCATCAGACACCATGCTAGGCCACAAGCGCTCCAGCCACGTTCGCGAGTACGGCCTCGCCACAGGCCTCGGCGCCCTGTTCGGCGCGACAAACACGCTCGTCGGCCACCCATTCGACACGGTGAAGACCAAGATGCAGGCGCAGGCGGGCTTTAGCGGGTCTATGCGGGCCACGATTGCGCGCATCTGGAGCACGGAGGGCCTGTTGGGATTCTACCGCGGCTGCGTGCCGCCGATGTGGGGCTCGGCCGTGTACCGATCGGCGCAGTTTGCGGTGTACGACCTCTGCCACACCGCCGCTGCCACGCATGCGCCGCTGCGCCGCCGCGTTGATCCCCTCGGCGTCGGGTGCGAGATGGAGCTGCGCGTCCCCGTCTGCGGCGCGGTCGGCGCCACCGCACGCACCGTGCTCGAGTCGCCGATTGAGTACGCAAAGGTCCGCGGGCAGACGGGTCAGAGCTGGCGGCTCGCAGAGGTGTACCGCGGCGCGGGCCTGCAACTGGCGAGGACGGGCCCGATGATGACGCTCTACTTTTGCCTCTTCGACTCGTGCAAGCGGAACGGCTGCACCGCCACGCCGCTGGGCCAGTTCCTTTCCTCCGGCCTCAGCGCGCTCGTTGGATTTTGGGTAGTGTGGCCGTTTGAGACGCTCAAAAACATGACGCAGGCCGGGATTGGCGGGAGCGTGCTTGACAAGGTGCGTGCGACGCCCGGCGGCGTGTTCGGCCTCTACCGCGGCATCGTGCCTGGGTCGCTCTCAGTTTTCCTACGAAACGGAGCGGCGATGCTCGTGATGGCGGAGGCCAATCGGAGAGTGACGGCGTGGGGCCTGCGAGACTAGCGCGCCCCGGCGCTCGCACTACGCACAGAGGCCACCGACGGTGTCTCGGTAAAAAGGAACAGGTCCCCGCCCGTGCGATCTTTGTGCAGGGTTCTTTGTGGGTCCGTGGTCGGCGGCTAGCCGGGGTCGTCCTCCCGGTGGGGGACTAGCACTAGCCGTCTTCCACATGGTCCCTCGGGTCCCTGCTGCTCCTAATCTATGTTTATCAGCGTACTCATGTACTGTATTATGTGCTCACATGCGCCGTGAGCATGTGTCCCCGGCATCGTGTCCGGGGATCCTTGAACTTTTTCTCTCTTTTTACACTCTCTCGTCTTGCCGTGTGTTTTTTGCCGTACAGCGTGTACTGGTGCGCGTGGGCGCGTGCGCGCTGCGCCGGGCGCCGGCACACCGCACACAAGACACAAAGTCCATTACAAAGTCACAACGTATGAGGCGCACACATCTCTCTCTGTGTCTACGACGCGCGAGCCCCCGTCCACACACACGCGTACGGGGCTCGCTAAGTCGAACCATGAAGTCTCCTCGCGCTGCCCTCCTCCTCCTGGACCCCCGTACGCGGGGTCGTACGTAACACGTATGCGAGGGGCAGCTGTGCGCCAGGTTCAGCTTCAGGCCGCCAGCTCATGGCGACACGGCGAGGTCGGCCATGGCGCCCTCCAGACTCCACGCGCCCGCTGGCCCGATATGCTTGCAGTACGCGCCCTCCTCGTGAAACTCTCGCATCCGGTCCTCCGCATCCGGGTGCGTGACCCGCGCCGTGATCGCGACGCGCCAGCCGGTGCGCACGGCAGACCCCGGAGAGTGGAATACGCCATGCACCACCCGCCGCTGCAGGCCCGCCCGCTGGACGTGCACGACACCGTGCGAGGTCTGAAGCCCTCGCGGGGCGTCGTACGTGCCGCGCGCGGCCTCGGCGGAGAAGCGCGCCCCATACTCGGAGTGCCAGTTGTCCATCGGCTTCCAGAGCACGACCTCCTAAGGCGGAGGGAGGGCGCCGAATGGGCTTGCCGGTGGCGCCGTGCGCCGCCCCCTCCCCTCCCCCCCCCTTCCCCTCTCTCTCGTGGCGTCGCGAGCCTTGCCCGAGTCCTCCGGACGCTCGTAGAAGACAGTCGTCACAACAGGCTGGCGACGCACCAGCGGCGCATTCTTGGGCGCACTCTCGCGCGGGCCATGCTTGTAGCCCATGTCGGCGTCTTGGTGGTAGTGAAAGCCGCCGCCGCGAAGGTTAAGGCCGAACACGATCGTGTTGAAGGGCGCGGGCGGTGGCTTGAGGTGGATTGCGGTGTACATCATCGTGTGCCCCACGCACAGCGCTGAACTCAGCGGCGTGTGCTCCGCGCCGTTGATCACCTTGAAGTCGCCCGGCTTTTGGCCGAGCACGTACGGGCCGCCAAAGCCGCGGATGAAGGCGTCGCCCTTGCGCGCGCACCAGAAGCGGTCGCCGCGCATCGCCGCGCCGAGCTCGGCCAGCATCTCGGCGGTCCACGGCCAGAGGGCGTGGATCTGGCCGTCGAGCATCGCCGCCGCCGACGCCACGTTCGACCGCTGAGGCTGTCTCGAGAGCGGCAGCATGTCGACGGCGCCCTTGACCTGCCAGGCGCTCGGCGGCAACATCCGGTGCCTCCCCCACCACTCGGCGTCGTCGGCAGGCCCGAGACCGAGCCGGGCGAGCGTCCCGTCGGCGGGCGGCCACCCTCGTCGCGCGGCCGCGTCGGCCTCAGAGCGAGAGACCGGGCCCACCGCTTGCGGGTCGTAGGCCGCCCACGACGGTGCCGGTGCCGGCGCCAATGGCGGTGGCAGTGCCTGCGCCCTCCTCGCCTCCCTCGCCGCTTCCTGCGCCGCCTCTCGCTGCTCAGCTTGCTGCTCGGCAGGCGCCGGCAGCGGCTGCCATCCAAGCGAGAGCGCAGATAACCCGCTCCGCTCCGGCGGCCAGCTTCGCAAGCCCGAGAGGCGCGAGAGCTCGAGGTCACACTCCGCGCGAGTCTCCGAGACCCCGCCTGCCGGCACCGAGATCACTCGCCGCCCGTGGCCCTCTGCCGCCGCCACCAGGTACGACAGCGCCTCCGCGGCCGCCTCGGACCGCACGACACACTCCGCGCGGAGCACCAGCGCGCTCGAGCCGAGGACCCTCGCAGGGGCCGCTGGCTCGGCGTCGATCTCGAGCGGCTCGGCGTCGGCCTCCGGGTCGGGAGACTCGTCCACCGCGTCGGCCGTTTCGCCGCCCTTGTCGGTGCTGCTGCCGCTGTCCTCGCTTGCGGCGGCGGCGGCGGATAGTATCTCTGCGCAGCCCGAGTCGAGGCACGGCGAGAGGGAAGCCGCCTGGTTCCACTTGAGGTAGCCGATATCCACCTCCAGGTTCTCGTCCACACCGTGCGACGCACGCCGCGACGCATGCTGCGAGACGGCATGCGCCACAACGCGAACCGCGAGCGAATCGACGTGATTGGCCGGCTCGCGCCGCAGCTCCAGCGAAGCGCCCGCATGCATCAGAGCTCGTGCCGCCGCGATGTTGTGAAACTTGAGGCCCACGGCGACGAGCCGCAGGGAAAGCGTCCGCTCGACAAACGCCGCGTCGGGAAGTCCTGCGGCGTTTGCCATCGGCTGCGTGCCTTCACCGTCCGCGGATGCGGCGGCAGCAGGCTGCGTCGCCTCCTCGTCGCCATCCAGGTCGTCGAGCATGACGGAGGACGCGCCGCGAAGGACGGTGGCGGCAGAGGTGAAGGAGCCGCGGAAGCGCTTTGGCTCCATTCTGGACCTAGTTCGATCGCTGTGGATGAGAGGCGGGAGGTGGCGGGTTGGTCGCCGCGATTTTCTTTTACGCAAAGTCCTGCTCCCCTCCTCGTCTCGCCCTGCGCGTCTGCTCCGCCTCCACATCGTCTGCCCTGCGTCGTCTGGCGACGGGTCCTCCATAGTCGGTTGAGGTCGCCGCCCTCCTCGTGCCTCTTCCCAACGTTCCCTCGGCGGCCGATGCCGTCCGCTCCGACTCCGCCGTCCCCGGGTCTGCCCTGCTCTCGTCTGCGCCAGCTTCTGTTTCGTCATCACTGGTGTCTCTCCTCTTCTTTCTCCTTTCTTGTACATAATCATAATGTGGCACATTCTCGTAGCGACGGTTTCACCATCGGACTGCCGCCAGACACGCGCCGTGTAGTGCGACGACGCCGTCACAATGAGCTTGCCATCCGGGCTCACCGCTGCCGAGAACACCGTTTCCGTGTGCCCGGTCAGCGTTCGAAAACGCCACGAACCGTCGGACAACTGCCAAATGCGCGCAGTTTTGTCAGCCGAGGTCGTCACTCTCTTAATGCCCAAGAGCGGTCGTTTGCCTCTCCATGAAGCGGTCGATTTGGCCCGCCTTCCGTCCCCCCCAATGCTTGCCGTTCGCTCCCCCCCCCCCCCCCTCCCCTCCTCGACTGCATTCCCTTTTTAGATACATAAACTCGAGCGTGTCTGGTGTCCAGTCCGAGCCTGGCTGTTCTTCACCTTCTCTCCTAAGATCTCCTACCTACCTCCACCCCGGGGCGCCCAAGACACACAAGCACAGGCGGTCGAGAAGGGAGAGACTACAGCGACGACGATCAGAGTGCATGTATTCACACCACACTCGAAAAGGGGAAAGGCCTTCCTCTCTTCTAAGAGCACCAAACGGCGTAGCAGCCCGCAACCAGGGCGAGGACCATCAGCACGCACTCCCAAGCCCACCACGCAAAGGCTCGGTGCCTGCAGTTGTGGAAGCTCTGCGCGCGCACCTCGTGGATTCCGATCGACGGACACTTCGAACCGAACAGCTTGATAGTGTGGGAGATGCAGAGCTGGAAGATGACCTTGTCCTGCTGCATCACGAAGCCGGCGGCGACTGCGTTGCGTATCAGCTCGTGGTCAGTCTTCGAGCGCAGCACCAGTCCCGCGCCCGCCACCGTGATGAGAATTGCCACCAGCACCTTTCCGCCGATGATGAAGACGTAAAAGGCCGCCCGCTCCCAATAAGTGAGGCCGCTCACGGGCCGCGTGACCGCCGCGCTTTCACCATACTCCTCCTGGGCGACGGGATGCTTGTCTGCAAACTTTTGGAACCGCAGCAGCTCCATCTGTCCCACAGTTGGAAACTCAGACAACCACAGGTGCATCTCGAGCGACTCGACCAAGTCGCGCAGCCCTAGCTGCATAAAGGTGCTGGTCGCCACCAGGCGCAGCATCGGGCTGCCGCCTCCGCAATCATGCGCCTCCTCAACCACGACGGCATACAAGTAGGCCCCGAGCGAAAGCTGGACGACGTAGGAAGCAACCAGAGGAACGACACCGTTCCCGTAGACAAAGAACGTCGGAAAGCGGTGCTGGCAGGGTGAGCGGAGTGGGTGAGATGGGTGGTCGTGTGGTTGTGCGCTAGCGGACTGCTCCTGCTGGGAAGGCAGACCTGCGGGCTCGTGTTGAGCCAAAGGAGGATCGCGCAGCCGTAGATGGAGTCTGTGGGTAGCGAGCGGGCGATCGAGCCCACCTCTGCCTCGTTCTGACTTCCAGGGTTGAAGGGTTTGCCCTTGGGTTCGAGCAGCGCCTCGTTTGGGAGCGGCAAATAGTCGTCCTTTGACTCTGTGGTTGCACGGCTGGCCCGCGCCACAGTCACCAGCCCGTCCATGCGCAAGCAGTGTGAAACAGCAGCAGGACAATCAGACCGAGGTACTCAGCGCAGAATGTCAGGGGCGATAACGACGCAATGGCAACGAACGACGACGCACGCACGCGTCCGTAAAGCAAGCCGGCAAACTCTCCGCGAAAAATGGGTTTGCGTCGGCTGTTTGCGATGGTCGCGTTCGCGGTGGTGGGATCGCAAGCGTGCTGCTGTGGCTCAAACAGCGGCCACATCGGGCCCGTCACCAAGGAGTTCTGCGCAAGCCAAGCCGGAACCGTGCGCCAAGCACACGCAAAGCGTTAACCGGCAGCAGCAGCGACACATCGCAAGAACACAATTCGCATCGCATTCAACGCCCAGGCCCCAAGCGCTCCCGCCACCTCTCACTCTGCCGCCCCTCCCTCTGACGCAGTATTGCGGCTCGTGCCACCCACCTTGTGATGTTGCGTGCAAGGTCAAGTTTGCCGCGCAATGAGCTGGAACCCGTTTGCAGACCTCAGCTGAGCTGGCGCTAGGCCGGTCCATGTGTGTAGACGCAATAGCTTTCCACCGATCACGCAGTCGCCGTCCGGCGCCCCAACGTTGACGTATATGCGTGGGTGTGTGGTTCTCATCTTTTAGCAGTGTGCGTCTGGGCGTGCCCCCCCGGTGGCGGTGCGCCGCGCGACGCGTGAGGCTGCTGGCTCGAGCGTCGTGTGGCGTGGGTGGCGTGCCCATTCGTGGAGAGACAGTAAAGAGGGCGCGCCTGTACAATCCCGCGATTGGGAGGGCACTTGTGACGAGGCATGGTCACGTGTTAAAGGCGAGTGGCACGATTTTTCGCTGTGTCGTGTGTGTGGTCCCTCTGTGCGCGGACTTGTGCTAAGTCGTTGTGTGAGACTCCCTTTTGCTTGCTAATACTGCAACATTTTTTTACAATACGCACACGTGAAGTCATATCCCAAATCCAGGCCTCGACTCCTTGGGTGCCGCGGCCGGCGGCAGAGGTGGCGCCCGCCGATTGCCCTCGGCAAGCACGTCTGCAACCAGCGGCCTGGTGTCGCAGAGCTGGCTCATGGCGATGCGGTTAGAGGCGGCAGGCCACGGCGCGGCGCGCCTACGAGCGAGCGAGTCGTCCTCACGCGAGGGATGGCGCCGCGGGTCTGAGGCGTGTGGCGCGAGGCACCGCCAGACTTCCCACGCAGCGGGAAACGCGCGTCGCACCGCGACCGTGTCGCCGGGCGTAGGCCCCTCCGCAGTCGCGAGGAAGAAGGCGTCCACAAAGTCCGCCATAAACATCGGGCGGACCGGTCGCAGCGGCCGCGGAGACAGCACGAGAGCCTCGAGGTCGGCGTTAATCAGCACGACCGGTCGGTCGTGGGCGCGGGAGAGCAGGCCCTGGAGGCTCTCCAGTACGTGACCGTCCGGCTCGTCGTCCGCGGAATAGCGCACGCGATTGCAGGGCGCGAGCACGACGAAGGCGCCGTCGTCCTGCTGCGGGTCGCCGAGGCCAAGCGAGGAGCACCGTGCGGCGCCGTGCCAGAGCGGCAGCAACGCGCGAGGAACGTAAAGCCGGCAGCGGGACCCTTCCGCCTCGAGCGAGCTGGCGAGACAACGTGCCGTCTCGTCCACGCCGGCGCCCGTCGGCAGCGTGACCTGCACCCGCAGATGGCCCGTCTGGAGCGCAGCCAGCGCCGCCCGCGTCGCCTGGCGCGCCATCTCCTCCGCTGTCCCGGGCAGCGGCCGCGGGTGGGCCAGAGTCAGCGCCAAGAAGGAGAGCATCACAGTGCGCGGTCCGGTGGCTATTGTTTCGATGTTGCCAACTTTTCCGCATTGTTGGCCTCGGCCAATGGACCTCGAGACCACCCACCCCCCCCCCCACGCATCAGTGTAGTTGTACGTACTTTTAGCTTACTGGGAGAAAAGAGAGAGGGGGTTGTGTTCTCTAGGCCCCTAAGGGCCCTACGCGCGGCGTGAGAGCTCGGAAGCGAGCTTTGCACGGGAGCACGGCGATCGAGGATGGCACGGTTCACCCCCCTTCACCGAAGCGATGGAGATGCGTTCCGCGTGGTGTGACACAAATGAGAGGCGGGAGTGGGGAGGGTACGCGGTGCGGTCAACGCCCGAGCGTTGAGCCTTGCGCGCAAGGCGGTTGATCTTTGCAACCGGCGGCGAGAAGCCGCCGCCGAATGTCTCGTGGAGAAGCAGGTTGAACTTGTTTCGTTTGGTGAAGATCCCATCATGGTAGTGGCCACGCTGTGACTTGACGTAGCCTTGGCCGGTGGTGTGGTCGAACGCCCGTTGACCACGGAACCCGCGTTGCTTGCAGCCCATGTTTGCAAGGCGGGCGCGCTCTTCGGTGTTGCCGAAGGCGAACTTGTCTCTCTCTAGAGTCTAGTGTATGTAGCTCTTACGTACATTCCCGGAGGAGGACTGCTGACGGGGTTTGCGATGAGGAGCGATCCGAACGTGGTATTCGTTTTTCGTTTGGTATGGTGGCCTCGGCCAACGCACCTCGAGAGTCGAGACCATACCCCCCCGCTCTTGGAAGACCTGCTTGGGGTATGGTAGGGCTAGCCTTGGGCGGTCAGGACCATACCCCCCCCCCTTTGGGCCGCCGAGGCCCGAGGGTACCATACCATACCCCGGAAAAGGTGGAACCCTGTCGAAAACAAACACAACCCTCCCGTGACGAAAACGAACAACGCACCAGGCGACTGCCTGAGAACGCTGGATCGAATCGTAGGAGGCACCTCGAGCAAAATTGGGCCCGCTCAGGTGAAAAAAATATAAGGGTCAATCTGCCGATCGATTCGATCCGTAGCCACTCGAACCGAGCGGCTAACGGCCGAAGGGAGGGCAGAGTAGATGATAGGAGGTGCCGGCGGGCGACCTATATAGCATAAAAAGTATAGTTAAAATAAAAACCGGGGGAATTAGACACCACAGATACGCACACCGACGCCCGAAGTGCCAAGAAGGACGTCATTAGTACGAAACCTCAGAAGGCCATGGGCGCCGAGTGAGAGAGAAACGTTCCCTCGAGAGGACAAAAGAAAGGCGACGCACCCCCTCCTTGCGCAGTGTCCCCCGCTATGTGTCGCCAATTGGGGCACGCTATCCTGCGCAGGCAGGGCAAGCGGGGGCGGGGGGCAGTCCCCCTGGTCTGATACTGGGGTGTGGGTGTCTCCAGTCTCGGAGCACGGAGGGGGGCAAAAAGATAAGAATATCTAATTTTTTGTCGAAAACAAACATGCGAGGTTCTTTTTTCTTTGAGCTTAGCCTCGATGTTATGAAACAAACGCAAGGCGGACATGAGCCCTAGTCTGGCCGATTTTTTTGCGGTATCTTGATGTATCTCTCCATATCTGACCGTATCCCGCCATATCCCGCCATATCCCGCCGTATCCTGCCCGCCTCACGCCGAGCAGCCCGGCCTCTCCGCGCTCCGGCCGCAGAGCGCGACGGCAAAAAAGAAACTTAGAGGTCGCGTGCGCTCGAAAAGGGGAATGATATGTCTTTGAAGAAGGCACACGAGCTGACACGCGAGCTGACACATGCACCCGCTAACACATGTCGCCCGCACCTCAAATATTTAAATGCCCGACCCGGTGAGCCACTCGCGGAGCTCGGCGGAGCCAACCTCGAACGAGTGCGGGAAGACGATGGACGGCTCCGTCTCGTCCGGCGTTGCCGGTGGGGTGCGCAGCGGCTCGTAGCCCTCCTCGGTGTCGCCAGTCAACGTGCACGGGGCGCACTGGTCGAGCTGCTCGAGCGAGATGCCCTTCATCTCGGGCGATGCTTCGTCGGTGACGAGCTCTCGCCAGTCATGGGAATCGACAAGCGCTCGACAAGCGGGGCCGTCGAAGGCGAAGTTCGCCCGTCGCGTCCGATTTGCGGTTTCACGCTTCACCGACCGGTTGTCGTGAACACATCATGGGGGCTCCGTATCTCATCATATCCGCGTGTATCTCCCGGTATCCCGCCATATCCCGCCATATTCCGCCATATTCCGCCATATCCCGCCATATCCCGCCGCGGATACCGCGAAAAAAATCGGCCAGACCAGGGATGACATGGCATATCGCTCTCGCCTCTCGGGCCCACAGACATCCCGCACACCCGCCGCACACCCGCCGCCCCCGCGCGCGCCCCACCTCGGCCGGGAGAAAGGGGAGTGACAGTTTGGGATGAGCAAGCCCGAGTATGTTGAGTCCTGGCTCAACAAAACGCAGGGAACAAGAGGAGGTGGTCCGGCTCACAAGTCCGGCTCACGCGCCCCGAGCTCGCCATCTACCGCACTGAACACTTCCGCCCCCTCGCTCCCAACCCACCCACCTCGCCTCGGGCCGCGCCGCGCGATCTCGGGCGATCTCGCGCGATCTCGGGCGATCTCGGGGCCGCGCCGCGCGATCTCGGGCGATCTCGGAGCGTCGCTCGCGCGGCGTCACACCTGCTCAAAAAAGGAAGGGCCTGGTTGGAGCCACGGGGCTCACGAGGACGTGCTCGCTCGGTTCTCGCCGCCTCGCCCTGCGCCACTCGGGCCGGTGAGGCGGCGCCCCGCGCGGCGCGTCCCTCGCCCCGTCCACGCCGACCCCTGCGCGCACCGCTCATCTTCAGCCCTCTTGGGGTTACTCTTGCGCTCACGCAGGGGAACCCGGCGGGACTCCCTTCCCCCCACCTCCGACGGGTTAGGTCGGTTCTGCGCCCCTTGGCGCCTGTGCATGTCCCGCGTGCCCGCCTGCCAAGGCTGGTGCCAAGGGCAAGGCCAATTCAACTGCCAAGGCTGGTGCCAGGGCCAAATCAACTGCCTGGCTGGTGCCAAGGCTCAAAGGCTCTCCTCTCTCTCTCTCCTCCCTCTCCACTCTCTCAACTTTCTCCCTCTCTCTCCCCTGCGACTCTCTCTGCTCGCTCCGCCCTCTCTCTCCCTCCCTCCCTCCCTC